ATACGAGTTCACTCTCAATTGGCTATGGCGACTTCAGCGCCCAAACATCTCACTGTTCACATGCACTGGATCACCCTGGATATCCCACACGCATCACTCTAACACTCGAACACACACACGCACTCACTACTAACTATAGCTATGGCAGCTATGGCTGCCTCTAACCTATCGCTATGCTAACTCCTTCTYTCTTGCCCACTGCGTCCTCCGGGCTCATCTGCAGACCTCCTTGCACAAGTCGCTGTGGCAGCGCTTCCGCATGGCTCACGCAGGAATGAATGAATGGCTGGGTGTTGCCTCTTGATTTATACTTCAGAAATTCGTTGGTCTGCCCTTTGCCATTGGCCCTTGGTGCTCACAGTCCCCCTGTGGTACTTGCTGGACTGGACTGGGACTCTCTAGACCCTTCTCCTGTCTGTAGGCAGTCGTACCGTCGACTCAGTGCAGTTGCACTGAGGTCCTACCTGTTGACCTTGCCACTTGTCTTCGTCTGAAAACGTGGGCCTACCTTAGACTCACCACTTGACCACTTGCCGACCTTCTAGAAGGACTAAAGCTAGGCCTCTGGACTCCACTTGGACTCCTACCTTACAGGTGTACAGTTCGAATCTCCCTACAGCCTACAACCTACGGCGACCTACTTACCACTGGCTATCGTGCAGGTCACGGGTTCAACTCCAGGGAACTGTGCAGATACTGTACACAGGTAAGCTGAGGTCAAAGGATCGACCCCTGGGATCTGCATCGGCTACTGCCAAAGGTGAAAACTGTTTCATATGAGTGTCACAGCATCTATGTGTGTGTCACAGTATTGTGTTCGTGTCACAGTGCATTGTCTGCCTCTGTCTCTGTGTGTTTCGTTGTGTGTCTGTCACTGTGCACTGTGTGACTGTGTATGTCTTGACTGTGTCTCTTCGTGTATTTGAACCTGTGGGCATTTGTCTGTCTGTTCCTTTCCATCTCTTTTTCCATTTCTCCATCTTTCCCCTCGTCCCCCCTCTTCTTTTACGTACTTCCTATGAGAGGACAACGAGCGATACCAAATTGACAGGTTCCAGATTGGAAACTCACATTGAAGGCCAAAGATTTTGATACCATCTAGTAGCGGGATTGCACCAACGAACAAGACATGAGTGATAGAAAATGTAGAAAACCAAGCCGCATCATACCTATGAAAGCAGATAGTCGTGGAGTAAAATTGCAACTCGATACACCCCAAGTAAGAGCACAGCAGAGTTCACAAATGACAATGTTGAAATAGTCTCGCCACCATCATCGATGAACCAACGTCGTCTTCCCTCACCTGGCGCTCAACGCCCAGACTACAGATGACAAATCCTATCTTGCCTACCTACAATGTAGCTTGTGGCGTCAACTGCTTCCAGGTACGTCCCTGATTCACTCACAACCTCCACTCCCCACACAGATGGCACATGCACCCGAAGACCACCACGCACTTCACTCAGTACCTTGCTAGTCAGATCGACTATGGCTGTCAGCGTGCACTTGCTCCCTTTCCACTGCGTTCCATTCCAACTCTCTTTCTGTACTTGCATCCTAACAATGGTGACATCAATAAGAAATACTACTAATAATAATAATAAATAATAATAATAAATAATAATAAATAATAATAATAATACTAATAATAAATAATAATAATAATAATAACATTATTATTAATAAGTTAATATAACATTATTATTAATGACAGTAAAATCGTGATAATGAATGTATACGGGATATGTTTTCGGTCAGATGCGGTAACTACGTAGCGTCCTACAGCTCGGGAAAGACCCGCTCAGCAGTAGATCGCATAGGTGGTTGAGGTCGGTGAAAGGAGAGTAGGCGCCGTCCCACACCCCGAAGATCGGTCGTTGTCGTGTCAATGATCCACCCTTGGCCCACCTATGTGGCAAGGTTCAATGATCTTCTTTCAGCGCCCCCAACGGCCAACCACCTAGATCACCCCGATCCAGACACTTCACCGAACTATTCAAATCGGTAGGAGCGACGACCGACGTGTACCAAGGGCAGGGAAGAAATCAGCGCGAGCCATCATGACTCGCAGGCATTCCTCATTCAAGATCGATAATTACAACAATCTATCCCCGCCACGATGAACCTTCAAAAGGCTACCCCGGGCCCGTCGACCCAGGCAAGCGACTCATTGGATTCGTCGGTGTAGCGTGCGTGCGCCCAGGTAAGAGCTCTCTCTCCTTCTCTCTCTCTCTTTTTTTCTCACATACACACACACAAAAGCGTGGCAGTGTACACTTTTGTGTTCCGGCGGTATATGCATTCAATTTTGCACATCTTATTCGATGGAAGCACCATGAAGGCAACTGTGAGGTTGAAGACTTACCTTCCGAGCTCATAACCAAATGCAACGGAGCAGCATCGTAGTACAATCCGTTCATGATGCGCATCATATCGAGACCAGGCCATGGGTGAATGATTGGCACGACGCGCACTGGGCGGGTGGTGATCCCCTTTGAGAGGGACGGCTCGAGGCCTGAACCGTGGTGCAAAGATCATCTGTAGTCCATCAGTAAAGCCCATCTCCCAGACAAAACTTGAAGCACATCGAAATCATGCGCAGAGAGCCCCCCCCCGTGACTCAAGTACAAGGTCCCCAAACCTATGCTTGGAACTCGCCTTCGTCGAATGTGAGGAAGGTAAGTCACCCCCCCCCCTTTTCTCTCTCCTCCTTTCTTCTTCTGCTTCCCCCTCTACATTAGCCTCCTTTCCCGCAACGTTCTTCTCCTTCTCGTTGTTTTCTTTCTCCTTTTCTTGTGGTACATTTTCTCCATTCCCGCGATATCCTTATCTTTTCCCGCAATACTCTTCTTCCTTCGTTTGCCTCGAACTTACATAGTCATAATCGTAGCTACTCGTTAAAAGTATAAATAAAATTAATAATAATAATAATAATAATAGTAATATGGGTAATGTAAACGTATTCATACTATCTATCCGGTTAGATCCAGTCAAAATGAGGGTATGTTATATCCGGGGATTCGCTGCCTGATTTCAACGTAGATCATCGGGCAATCTGGTAAGTCTCTCTCTTTTCCTCCTCCCTCTCTCTTTCTCTTCCTTCTTTCACACACACACACACACACACCTACATATGCACACGCACACACACGCACATATGCACACACACGCCTGTACACACACTCACACACAAAGGTAGTGCATATTTCTACTCTCTTATCATTAGATTCAATCCTTTTTGCTCATCCCATTCGATAGAAATTTCTCTCTTTCTCACACACCCACACACATCAAACAAGTGTGGCATTGTATACCTCCATGTACTCGCAGAAGATTCATTTGGCTTCACTCGTCCTATCGATGAAAACGGAGC